CTCTCATCTCTCTCATCTCTCTCATCTCTCTCATCTCTCTCATCTCTTTCTCATCTCTCTCTCCTCTCTCTCGCTCTCTCCTCTCTGTCTCTCGTCTTTCCGTCTCTCTTCTCTCTCTTCTCTCGCAGGAGGATCCGGGCAAAGAGCCACATATAAAGGACTCTTCACCCCTGCCTCCAAAAAGAGCGCCGTGTTTTTTCCTACCTCGCTGCCCTCCACTTTCCCATTCTGGAGCGCTAGCTTTCGCCCCCCCCCCTTGGCCTCAAGTTATGACAAACCAATCGAGTCAACTGGACCCTGACAACAATGCTGTTTTGCCGTTGATTGATGGACAAGAATGACAAGCTCACGCCGAATATCGACATCTCAACAGAGAATCCAAGCCAAAAGAGTTAAGTCTGGTTCTACACTTCCCGAATCGATTGTTCACGGACACTGTCGACACTTGGTGTCAGGATGCTGATGAAGAGCCTCGGGAAGAGCTGGCTGAAGAGCTGCTTGAAGAGGAGCTACGAGAGCGAGCCGCTAGAGCTCAGCTATTCAGTCTGTGTATATAGGGTATTGAAGGGGGATTGACTTGTTTGGTCCATTTCCCGGGAGATTTCATCTCCGAAAGGGTGGGATCAAGACAAACACATTGCGTGCTGAGCCACGTGGCAGGTTTTAGAGCCACGCTTCCCTACTATTTCCACGGTTGTTCTTGAATCACTTCTTCCAGCAGAAATCACGGCAGCTACGGAAAGAAACACGTGGCAGATGGGGGAGGCATGGCACACCTGGCGCCTCATTGCAGCGGTGTGGCGTCTTGCACCGCAGGACGAGGTGGAGGATTGGATGGGTGATGCCAACGAGGTGGGAGCGACCGACTTCAACAGCTGGATGTGAGATGGAGGGCCTTTTGGCCCAGGTGCTTGGGACATGGAGACTAGTCAAAGAGCCATGCTTCTGTGTGCAAACTGAGGGCAAGCATAGAACATCACAAAGCCAACCAATGTGGGTGCGGGTCAAAAGAGCTAGAGACTCTACAACATCGTAGGACGGATCCCATGGTTGTCTTCATTGTGCTAGTTTAGATGGTGGGTGCAGGGTTGTGACCCGATTGGCCCAATTCCCTTCTGGAACATGCTGTGAGATGCCTTACGAAAGGCGAACGCATCGCTTTTGAACGCCATGGACACTACCATGCACTGGCAGGAATGGGTGGATGGTCACCACCAACTCTTGGAGCAACTTGAGCAATTCGTCGAGGTGAGGAGGGATAAGCTGGGCACAGCCACAGACAAATCAGACATCAAATCACCAAATTTGCAACAAACCAAAGGTGTTTCCAGGAACTCGTTTTTGGTTGGGAGTTTGTCCGTGGGCGACACGTGGAGAAAGGTTGCCTCGTCAATCTTTCTTCCAAAAGCCTGGGTTGTATGTCAATGTAGTCGCTTGCTGTAGAGGGGTGCCTGACCCATGTTGCCACCTGAGGCCTTTTTTTTGAGTTGATCGTCCGTCTCCGAGAGATAAAGCTCCTGGTAGCTGGCTCTCACTTCGCCAGCTGCAGTGCACCCACTCGTGCACTTGCTTGTGCCAGGAGGAGCACTTCGAAGATCCTTTGGAGTCATTGGGACAGCAAGCCTATGACATGGTGGAGTCAGATGACGATATCTCCCTAGGAACTGACTTTGATGTAAACCAGACGGATCCCATTCCAGCTTCTTGGCATTCGAGAGCCTTTTGTTGCAGTTTTCTTTTTTTCTTGTTGTTGGTGTGGTGGTGGTGATGGTGGTGGTGAAATGGTGTTATGATGTAAGCATCCAACGTATCCAAGCTAGAGGCTTAGAAGTCATGTTGATTCGCATTTCAAACTGAAGCAGATTGGTTTGTGGCTTGTGACTGGTGCAATGGAATACCAGGGTTCTTCCGCCCTGGCCAAGCGGCATGATTCCAAGCGCAACCTTGAGGATTTCAATGATTGGGGCAGCGATCCCGGCGGTGTGGCCAAAGCTGCTTCACTCTGCCTCACATTGCAGCTTGGTGGTGCAAAAGAGGTTGCAAGTTAAAACTCTTTGATACCCTAGGACTAGTTTTTGGTGTCATGGAGTCTTTTCGGACAACAGCCAACCGCGCCAGTTGGAAGAGACCACCAACCGCGCCACTGATACCTTAAGTGACCTGGTAGGAACGGTCGAGAGGTTTGAGCGTTGAAAAACCTCCATAGACAGACGCAGCTGGGATCCCCAAGTCCATCCCCAAGTCCTTTGGCTTCTTGACACTTGGGGAGGCCAGGTTCCCATCAAACGATTTTCCTTGAAAGCCTGCAGTGGTTCTCACACACACACACAACTCCACCAGGAAATGCAAGAAGAGTTGGGAAGTCCCAAAGATGCCATTGGGCCAGTCTGAGCTCTGGCAATTCGGCCCCAATGGGCCTCCCATGAACGTCGCCTTGGCTGAATGATGGTTTGTTAGTCTCTTGGGGTAGGTGACAAAAGAATCAACCATGCTCAGCAGGTGCAGCTGGTAATGGCCGCTGGTCGGCCATTGGCCAGTCTGTGGTGGTATCGAAAAGTCTCAATCGTGGCAGTTCCAGCTTGCAGTGAGAACCTCAGGTCATGGATGCTTGCTCTGCCTCAAACATGCTTTGGATTGCGAATCAGCAGCCTGGAGAAATGGTAGGGCCAGGCTAGCCTTCAAGGCTATCAGTGTTGGGGGTTGCAGAGAAAAGGACAGGGCTGCTTTTGGCTTATTCTTGCCAGGACTACGTGACAAGTTGTTTTTGGTCCTCAGACCTTGGCATCATGAGAAACGTATCGTACCAACAAGCACAAGGCCACCCTATCTTTTGGAATTTCCAAGCTTTAGCAAGGGAGTATGGGAACTGAACTTCGCCCGCCCCCTGGGACCCTGAGGTCCTCAGAGGAGGCTGCCCGATCTTGCCCGAATATAGGGCGGAATGTGGGAGGTATTTTCTTTAAGTTTGGGCCTCCCATCAGATTCCGTCCTTTTCCCGCGCATGGGTATCGATCAATTCACCCCCCTGCGATCTTCTGTTTGCTGCATTAGGGTCCAAGTTCCTTTAAACATGTCGAGTGCCAGGGATTGCGGAGGGTAAAGTCTTCTGGGTCCGTCCGGAAGAAGAACCACCCTGATTGCCCAAGACCAGGCAAGATTTGTTCGGCTTCTCGCTGACGGGCTTGGAAGCGCAGATCCAGGATCAGAACCTTAGCCGCTTGGCGAGGTGAGGGTGGGTGAAGTGTCGCATGCCGTTGACAGGCACAAACCTATACAATTACAAATTATGAACTGCTTTATATATATATATAAACAGGAAATGCATAGTTTAGGTGGTATGCCGTATGCCGCAGTATGTCAGAAAGTTTGAGCCGATGCTCGATTCATGCAACCGCGCAAGCATCATGCCCAAGCTAGTTGACCAAACTTTGCCTCATGCCCAAGCAACTCCCAAAAGTCTGGTGGCTCGATTTCTCAGTTTGCGGTGCACAGACCTGGTGCTCCGAGGAAATCAAGTGCTGATCGCCCACCTGCCTTCCTTGAGCGGCCAAGTGAACCGGATCCGCTGCGGGCAGCTGGGCCGGCAACCTGTGGTGGCAGCTGTGGATGCCGCGGGCGGCGTTTTAGTGGCGCCATCGTTGGTGAATGCCAAGCTGCCACCCATCAAACTGCTGAATCCGGGGGTGGGAGAGCAGGCGAGTGGCATGAGGTTTCACAGATCATGCGAGGTTGCGCTGGGTTTGTTGCTCAGGGATCCTACACCTACTGTACACCAACACGGTTTAACATATTTGCATCACATTCTGAAGATGTCGTAACAAGATGTAACAAGAAGCTACTAGTAACAAAGGGCATCGCTACTAGGAGCAAGGACGCTGCTAGTAGCTCCTGGCCGTACTACTAGGAGCAAGAAAGTATTAGTTACGGTACTAGTAACCAATCTCCAGGCTTTCTCCATTGTTGCTCCTTGCATCCTACTCTTTGCCCTTGCAGGGCGTATCCACCTGGGGCATTGGCCTGCCGCCCCATGACGAGGGACGCCTAGCTATGCCTAGCGAGACCGACGCCGAAACTGTGTTTGCTTGCTTTTTGTGTGGTGAAACTGCCCCTGTGCACGTAACTAAACTAGCTCTATAGTTCATTTCCACGTGAGAAGGCACTGCGCTTGACCGCTCTGTGCGCAAGAGAGTGAGAAAGAATGAATAGTGAATGGTGAACCTGCTTTCATGCAAGACTTCTATAGGAGTCAGTGCCATCACTACTGGCTCCTTCGTGGGATGTTGGAGCCAAGGCAAAGAGACAGGTCCCCTGCTGGTTTCGGCCAATGATCACTGCCTGAAGGTGCAGGGTTAGCGATCGGACATGAATGAAGCTGCGGCAGGGCGTCCTGACACACTTGCACACTGTTGTGGCAGAGTCAATAGAGTGGGTTCAGAGTAGATGGCACAATCGCCCCCAAGGTCGGTGGTTTATATGGACCCCATCTAAAGGACATCTTGGGGTGCCAGTGCCATCTAAGTACTCTGAAACCATTGTAAATCTTGCTCCAGGCCTGGTGGCTCTTTGATTCGCCCAGCCCGGGCCAAGCCTCCAGAGCTGCCGGGCATGGCGCCGGGTATGGCGGCGGGGACAACCGCGAGGAGCGGCGGCCACGCAGCTCGTGGTATTTGCAACAGGTCAAGGGCCAAGGGGACGCCCGGCATTCATGGAAAGTGGGGCAAGTTTGCTGTGCAACAGTGGAGAATTGGAGGGAACATGTGTGGAACATGATGAAGGAATATGAGGGAATGGGGTGTTCCCCAGCAAGAATCTGTGGCTTGCTCGGTTAACCCATCTTATCATGTTGGAGAAGCTTATTTGGTCTGTCTCATAATGAAGGCATGGCAAATCAATTCCCTTTCAAGAAATGACTCTCTTGGTTCTCCCGAATTGGTGACAAACTCATAGACGCCTTCGAGCAAGCCTGCGCAAGCCTGAGCTGGCACAGGAGGTATCAATGCAAGCTATGAGCAATTCCTGCAATGGGTCTGGACCAATTGGATCCAATTGGAGATAACCGTAGCATCACCTCTAAATCCGTCCGGACATGTGTGTACTGAAAGCTCAGTGGCCCTGCCTACGGACCTTTTTCGGACCAAGGAGAAAGCCCCACTACTGCTGCACCGTTTCGCCGAGAACCTGCCCTGCATAGACATCGTGGGGCAGCTGGCGATCGTGGCTTCCTTGGGTGGAGAGGTGCCATGCATTGGTCGAACGCGTTGGTCACCACGCACGTGGGGCAGCTGGCGCGGGTGAAACATCGGAGGTTTTGTCTCCCATGGACCCGTTCCTTTGTTTGTTTTCTTATGTCTTCCTGCGTCTTGGGGCAAGGACCATGAGTTAAGATTGGCAAATCCCCGCTGTAGTGAGGAGTCTGATGTTGATGTCGGATGATGTTGGGTGCTTGGCTTCAGCATGTTTCGGACGAAACACTGGTGGTCTTTGACAGGTTTCACCTGATCCCTTGTTGAGGTGTCAGTGCTCAATGTGGTGCCGCCCTCTTCAATGGAGTCCCCTGATTTGGCTGCGTTCCAGGATCACGAGCCTTGCATATGAAGGGCAGCAGGAGCCGCATGCCATTGGAGAGTGTATGCGTTAGAGGCACAAGGCTCAATTATGAAGAAGTAATGGGAAGGTCGAATGACACATAAAGAACGCACTAATGAATGAGTGTGCTTTCATGTGCTTTCCTTTGACATGTGATGACCGCCAACCAGGTTAACCTTTTTGCACGTAATCCAGGGTGAGTTGACACACATGCATCTCCTGCATGATCAGCGCATTATCCGAGGCTGCAAGACCACACCCCGCTTTGACCCCCCACTGAAGCTTATTTACACGTGTGTCTCTTAGAGGGCGGCGCCCCCTGAAAGGAGCAATGTGTCATCATGTGCCCTCTGAACACCAGCAGTTTCATGCAACATTGTAAGACCAGGGGGTCGTTGGGGAAGATGATGGCCCAGCATGGGTTTCCCTTCAGTCTCTCAGGATGTCCAGGTGGTCGAGGCGCCGCGGCTGGATGAGCAGCTCTGCTGCACGACACCTCCACGCTGGCCCTGCCCATGGGAAGACCCTCGGATCGTACGCTGCTTCGCCCACGCAGAGAGCAGGACCGGCGGCAAGGGGTGGTAGATGGTGGTAGACTCGGAAGCGCAGATGGAAAAGGAAGAATTGAGCTGTTGGTGGCGAGGTCGTTTTTGTTTTTGATTGGCCTCCTGCTGTACAATGTCAAGGTAGCTGGCATGTAGATGCAGCATGCGGTATGAATGCAGCTGGAGTTGTGGCGGATTCATGGGACCTGCTGGGCTTGCCATGTGCAAGACCTTCCTTGGCAAGTGAAAGTGCCAGAGAAGATAGCTTCAGAAACCCTCACTTGGCTTCCAACGCCGAAACACCGACCCTTCACGTTTTTGTCGTCTCACGACCTGCAGGAGAGTGTGGAATGTGTGCTGGATCCCCTTGCGAAGCATCCGCACCGTGTCCACCGTGCCCGGTGCATCGAATCCTTCCGAAGGCGACCGGTGCAAACACCGTCGCCCCCGACGTCTGCGGGGGGTTGGGTTCGGACATCGGCGGGAGCGCGGTTTTTCGATTGGAAGGTGGCGTAACTAGTGGCAAGTAGCAGGTTCCTTTATACTTCGATTCCTTTGGAAAAAGCACTTGAAGCCACAATTCAGGCCCATTGCATTCCTGTGGTGAAATGTTTCTTTTCAATAAAACCTTGTCCAACTGTCCAACAATCTGGTTGTAATATGTTGTAATGTTTGTATATACATGGGTGGTTTGGTTGAACTTCGAACCTTCCAGAATCTTTCAGAATCTTTCAGATGTAGCCAGGAGTCGAGGAGGACACGGTGGAATGGACCAGCAACAGTGGCGCAGCCCTGCCAGCAGAGATCATCCGCGGAGTCTTGAGCCTCCTGGGACCTCAGGACCGAGTATGGAGCAGTGGATGCTGGCTGGATGGCTCTTCTACCTGTATTTTTCTGCCATCCCCACACTCGCAGTGGAGATGCCAAATTACTTTGTTTCCATATTCTTGGTAGTTATGTTGTCCTTTTTCAAGCCTAGAGTACTTGTTAGCAGGGTTTGGTTCTCCAAGTCGCGGAAATCCATGGGCAGGGAGGGGCAGGCCTCAAATACGACATAATACGCCATGCTGCATGCTCAGTTTAGAAGGGAAGCACCAACAGAACAACCAGCAAGAGAGTTCTTGGATGCTCTTGGTAATTGAAAAGCACCTGAATCAATCATGTTTTGCAGCGGTCCTCTATTTACAACATCATTTTGACGTATTTTTGCACATGACGCTTCGTCAGCATCAGCGGTTTTGGAAGATGTTTGCTGCACTTTCAGGGGCCGGATGTGTTTTTCGTCAGTGCGGAGTGGATTGGGCTTGTTCCACATGGGCCAGGAAGGCTTTATGGAGGCCTTGTTCAAGGATCAGATTGATCCAGCTATCCCTAAGACTTCTCGGAATCCGGTGAGACATGGCCTACAATGCCTACAATCCCCCTGCAGCCTGCGGCCAGGAACTTCTTCAGAGGGTTCAAATCTTGAGCAGCCAGCATGCCCAACTCGCACGTGAGCAGGTCCATTCAAGCACCCTGGCATGACATGCCTCGGCTGCCTCAGGGATTCTGTATGATTCTGTCATTCTGTTTTTTTGCTTTTTTTTGGTTTCGATCAAGTTGTGCTTGCACCACTTGCAGGGGTTGTTCATTGGGGTCGTGGGGGTTCTTGAGTGTGAGTTCATTGCACTTTCACCACTCGCCACTGCAAACAATCCTTTTTCATTTGTTTTCCTCACCGATCAGGCAAACGTACGGAGCTCATGGCCCTGGTCTTTTCCGAGAACACAGTGTGGCTCACAGACGCTTGAACACTGCTGTTAGCAGAGGGGCAAAAAGGAAGTCAAATTAGCGGTCTCGCTCATGAGCCCATCGACGATTTGCTATTGATCTCGGAATCATCATTGCAATTTTGCATCTGGACAGTGCTCGATAGAGAGCTTTTCTTACCAGTGCAACAGTGAAGCGACCCAGGATGGATGCCTCAACATGCGGTGCAAGCAGACCTTGCCCTTCAATGGCGCCTTCGCACACATCGTCCCCATGCCAGGCTTGAGCTCTGTGGCTCGGCTTGGTGCTCAGGAAGGCCCTCAGGATGTGCCACAGACGACCTCATTGGCAAATACTTAACGCTAAAGGCATCTAAAGGCTAACGGTTTTCTACGTGTATAGATCTAAGGACCGTGGAAGGCTTTGTATTGATGCACCACATTTCCCAACTGCCAGGACTTTAATGGTTGTGAGATGTGGGCATGTAGAGTGTAGAGTCGTGTGGCAAGATTGTTCCTGAGAAGCTTTGTGGGCTTGGCTCGCTTGGCTGCCGCTCTGCAATCTTATCCTTTCAGACGTTTGCAGTTTTTCGCCACTTCTTTCTTCCTGTCATTCGATTATTTTGAGACTCGATTTGCTGTGGAATTTTCCATGTGACATGAGCTCCATCATGCATGATCATATGTGCCCCCCCCAAAAAACCATTGGTCAACCATCCTCGGCAACAATGCCACTTGGACTCGCTTGGACTGGATCAAGGGACCGGCTTGACCTCCAGACGCGTGCGACGCGAACTGACGGTAGTGGTCTGAGGTAATCGTTTCCACGAAGATGGACTCCACCAACTACCCCCTTTGGGCCGTTTCCCTCGTGCGACGCCAACGCCACCCGGTCGAAAGATATGATATTTATCAATGCCTTGCAGCATCAAGACGCCCCTGCCAAAGGAAAGCTGAAACGACATCAATGGGATTGGGGCCAGCAACACATGTGGATCCGCAGGATGAATCGATTTAGAGGCATGCATGTGTCACGTAACAGTTGAAGCATGGTTTGCTTTGTATATTTGAGAGTAGGGTCAGAGTCTAATGTGAAGTTGCCGGTGTCCTTGACTCATGCGCAGAAATTCCAAGCTGCGCTGCAGCTTGGTTTCGCTCGTTGCATAGGTTCCTTGAGATTCGAGCTGCGAGTCACGCATTTAGCACCTCGGCGTGGATGTGTTTTTCCTTTTTTAGCACGTCACGTGCAGTGATCTGAAGCCATGTGGGGAATATACAAAAAATATGGTCATCCGGCATTCATTATTCATGGGTGATGAACTTGGTGGGAAAGAAGCATTTTTGATATGGTGCACTTGTGATAGGATTCTGGGCCAAAAAGCTGGCATGCAGATCAGAAAAGAACAGGATCAGACATATCTATTCCCCTCTAGTCTCCTGGTCCATTGGTCCACTGGTCTGCTCCATTTAGCCCAATTAGGCTTTGACGCGCCCCAATTGCTAAGCCTCTCAATGGCCAACCTGACAATCTTCTGTACCGTTTCGTCCGTTTCGCAAGGCATCAGCAGTGGATGTCCGACCGGAAGCCACCCGGAAGTCCCGCAAAAAGCAGACGGCCTTGAGGTAAGCATCGGAGACCGCCCGTGGGGCAATGCAAGAACCTTGAATTCTGGGCAGAAGGCCATTGCAGGCAAGAAAACCCACAAAAGGCAGGCAGAGGAGGCCCGCGCAAACAGGAAAAGAGGAGCGGAAGTTGGGCCACTCCACCCAATGTATTTGAAAGGTGGTCAAGGCAAATTTCTGCAAAGAGTAAGTGGGGCAGAAAGCTTATATAATCGAACCCCCGGCAGCTTCAGCACTGAATTCCTCATTCCAACGGCTTCAAGTTTTGCTGTGAAAAACTGCCAAAAGTATGCCAAGAATCAGGCTGGCTGGAGTGCAGCTTTGTGACAATGTGGCCCAAATGCTCACTGGCCAGTACACCCCTATCGCAGCCCATGAGCACTTCGACCGCGGCAGAGTATGGAACCCGCCAACTTCCACAACCTAAGCCCGCTTGAAGGGCCACATTCAATCCAACACGCATGCCACCATACAAGATTTGCTGAGAACTGAGCCACATGTGCAAAGACTTTCCCGGGCTCAAACTTGCTTTTTTGGTTTCCAGTGCCATTGTGATTGGCACCCAGGAGAAGATTTAGCTCGCCTGTCCCAACTCTGGAAGGGTACACACTTCCGAGCGCCTAGCGGCGTTACGCGCCACCTATCCAAAGTGATAAGAGGCCTTTGCAATAGCACGGAAGCCGTTCTGGGCGAGTCCAGCTGCCCCACAGTCGCAGCATTGGGTCGCAAGGGCAGCGCTTTCAGGCGATGTGCCTGCCACGGAACCTGCACTAAACTGAGCAAGAACAATATTGCACCGGGCGTCATCAAGGTCTGGGCTGCAGGGTGCACCATAATTGTAAAATGTTGTTAATACATATAAGTTAGATAAGCCTAAATAATTTCAACATAAAGGACATATCAAACAAGTATTTCTGATCAAGGTTATTTACAACCAATGTAACAATATAGAACGTCAAGAAAGACATATATACATAATTGCGCAAATCATTCCAACGTAGTTGACATTCACAATTATTCACAATACACATGGCTCAGGCTTCAGGCGTGGTCCCCTGCACCAGATTGGTTTAAACCATATTCCAATGCGCCACACACACACAAATCCACACACGATGGTGGGGACCGTGTTTTTTTGGATCCCCCAATCTCCTCAAAAAACAGCATCTAGTTGATGCTACAGCCCGTCTTGAATGAATCAAAACTCTCGCAGGCTTGGGCACCGGTGTCCAAGTGTCACCGGTGTCGGTATTTCTGCCCTGCCCACGGTACTTCTTCACGGTCGTCTGAGAACTTCAGGACACGGTGGAGACGAACTTGAGGGACCTGCCCTGGCCGCGGAACATCATCGTGGGCATGGCCGGCTCGCGGGATCGGTTGCTGATCTTGCCGCTCGGTGGACCTGATCGGAAGGGTCCAGTGTCGCGGAAGGATCACGGTCGCCGGGGGGGTGGGGGACGTGTGTCTTGTTGCGAAACATCCCCCCAGCAAGTAATGAGGACACGTGAAACATAAACATCCAGCTTAAACCAGGATGTGGTCGGTGAGAGGCTCGGCAGAAGTGTCAGATTCTTTCTTTCAACCACCACCCATTGGCATGCATAGACATCCCACCTGAAAAACAGTGCCGTCCCCTTATCAACTTGTGTTCATATAAGAGGTTCCCTAGTTCCTCACGTTGAAGTGCGCAGAGCAATATCTAGGTCTCTAGGCGCAGTCAGCATCGCCAGGTACAGCAGTTGCCGCTTGGTGTGCTACCAATTGTCTCTGGAGGACCGGCGCCGAGACGAGGAGCTCCAAGCCGAGGCGGGTGGAGTGGAGACCGGACCGACGGCCTCACGAGGTAAGATCTTCTTGTTCCTATTTGCTGCATCATGTTGCATCACACAGAGGGTCACTTCCACTTCGAGATGTCTGGCTTTCCTCCTTCTTTCCTTCCTTTGTGGAGATTTTTGGGGTGATGGCATTCTTGGGACAGTCTGCTGCGAAGGGGCAGGGGCCATGAAGTGTGCCACTCAAGAAACCAAATGCGGTCATGTTCCAAGGTTTCATTCTGAAGATGTTGGTGTATTGCTTTGCCTGGAGTCTAATGAGTCTAATGCCTGGTCGTGATTTCTTCTGGGATTCCCAGCTCAGTCTGCGGCCTGCGCCGTTTGCAAGGCTGGCACCAAGGACTTGGCCTCGTGATTTTTGAGCGTTCAGAACTTGTGGCGATGACCAGCGAGCCAGCAGTCCTGGTGAATCCTCTTCCCAAATGTTGATCTCAATAGTCCTATCTCACTCGTACGCGCAAAGATCCGAAGCCCGCTCCAAAAACAACATGTGGATTTATGTTGATTTGTTTTTCGTGGTGAAAGTTTTTCATGCTCCATGAAAAGATCAATAAGCTTTCGCAGCTGTACATACCCGGTCTTTTCGCCCAAGTCCAAGCCTTGGTTTTCACAGAGTTAAGATCTCCAAGTTGAGGCTGGCGCTGCGAAAGAGGCAGCCAGTTTCCACCATGATCAGAAAAGGATGAACGCATCAACAAATTCATCATGCAGGATTTACTTGCAGACAATTTGACCATGGTGATTCATCGTAGCGCAAGGATTCGAAGGGTTGTCGGCTGTATGTCGGTCGCTTGCCGTGTTGCCAGCAAACCATTGCAAAAACCACCCAGGATGTGAGATCAACTGGACTGAAACTAGAGCAGATGGGACACGAAAGATAGATTTAGGACTGATCTTGGTTACCCAAACCTTCATGTGAAGGTTGTACCAGCACTGGGAATCAACAACAAAAGCTGTAGAGATTGTGATGCCGTGCTTGCAGCTCGCAGTGACACAGTTCCACTGGCAGCTTCAACAGCAAAAAGGCGTTTTTCTCGTGCGTTGATGTGTTTCGACGTGTGCAACCCCTCCCCCTGCTCTCTCGTCAGAAAAGGATGGCTGAATGAACTATTCCACGCCTCCATTTTCTCCTTCGAAGCCAGATTCTACAACTTCCTTGCATATATTGATTAGATAATTTATATAATATGAAGGCCAGACGGGCCCAGACGGGCAAGCCACAGCTCAACCATTCAATATCTCACTGGGGAGCAGCGGCATGTTTTGAAAGGTGTTTCGCCGTGTCGCTGTCTCAGCACATCAGGCAGAGGCCACGTCTGACCAGGCAGCATCGGGATTCTGCGGGGCCTTTTTTCCGCCCGTAGGCCTACGGCCGCCACATTGGTATGCTGAAAAAGACGTTTTTTGGTTGGTCACAGTCTTCAAGATGTGTAATGTTTGCAGTCTTCGGTTTGCTTTCACCGACCGGATGCATTTGAGTTCCATGCCCGGATTGACTTGCCAGGTGGCCTGGCGCACCCAGCGTGTGCGACCTCGCGAAGAGAGCTTCCAACCTGAGGCCGGGACTTAGCATGGCTTCAGTGGGGCTATGCAGCCCGGCCCCAACCTAATAGTTATGGCCTCCAACCTGATAGGAATGGCCGTCAACCAAATAGCAATGGCCTCCACCCTAGTAGCGATGGGCCACATGTGGCCTTGGAAGCCTACTAGGGTTCCATCACATCCCACCCAGGGGCAAGACTTTAGTTAGAGTTGCTGAGAACAGCCGACGACTACCTTACAGACGATGATATAGATAACTTAACAGAGACATCATGAAGTGGAACGGGAACGACATGGAGCGACCTATCGGTGACTGTCCGTTGCATGCCCGGAACTCACAGCTGACCCTTCTTGCAGTTGGCTACATTTGGCAATGCCCTGGATGGTAAGAATGATGGTGAGATTTCATGAGATTTCAGGGGATGGAAATTGGACGCCTTGGGGACATAGGGGAAATAGACATGT